GTAGGCAAGGACGCTCACATAGTCCACAATGCCCCATTGCTCTTGATTTGAAACGCGTCCGCGCCAGTTTTCGGATAGGCCTTCTTCGGAAATGTATTGCTTACGGATGACCTAGGGTGCCTTCACGCTCTTCATGTACTGGACCTTGCGTGATGTCGATATTTTTTCCGTACGTACGCCTTCCAGATCTAAGACTTTCAGCCCAAATTAGTTGTGACTACCGTCGCTTTCCAACTGCATTTAAAATTAACTGCGCAATCCTTTGGCACTCAATAAGGGTTAGTTAATGATGATTTCTAGCATGAGAAACATTATTACTACCACCGAAAGTCAGCCTTCTGTGAAGAATCCCTTTGGCAAGTCCAAATGGTTCACAGCGCCATCAAATATATTTTGAATGAAGGACAAACAAATAAATAACCAATTTCCTAATGATATGGTAAACAAATAAATAACAGATTGAGGTCATCCTAGATTATCATGAACAAGTCTAGCAGAAAACCTAACAGACACGCTGCACTGATAATAGCTCCACGATAACAAATCAAATTCCTTAAAACTTACCGCATGGTTTTGAAGCAAACCACAGGCAACACGGACACGCGAAGTACCAGTGAGACGCGAACGGTCAGAAAACATGCATATACACATGTTTAAATAAAAATATATGCATATAAAAATATATAGACATATGCGTGTATATATAAACACACATACATACCTACGTACATGTATATACACACATACATATCTATATATATACGCACAAATACATATGATGTACTTTAGTACTGTCTAGGTTCCCAGTCGCCAAATCGTGGGATAAAGCTTATTACAAAAGTTCCAGTTCTCCACATCTATCCTTGTGGTCTCCCATGGACGTGGATCAATGCCGGGACACTTTCAGCCACTGAAATCCAACGCTTGGAGCAAGGGGGGGGGGGAGCAGCAGGGACACAAGCCTTTTTGCGAAAGTCATTCACCAGTCACACATAGCAACAATGGACGTGGAATTGCCTGCTAATTTTTGTGACAGTCCTGCGTCGCAACACGGAATCCCGGAATTTAATCGCTACACCGCCTGGAGACATGTGGCCCCTCGTGCCTATTACTGCTAGCTGGAACGGCCGACCCCGCCCTCCTTATATTACGAGGTCTTCCAGATACACGGCTTGGCAGTCACCCACTTCGCAACGTATTTCGAACCGCCTTAGTCAGATAGGCATAAGCGTTTCATCAGGGGGGGGGGGGGGAGGGGGTGGTCAAAATGGCAGTGGGACAAATGCTTCCCCACCGAAAACTTGAAACGAAACCACTTAAAGCGAGTGTTCCGCATTAATATCGGTTTCTGAAAAGAAATGGCCCTATTGAAGACCATTCGGTGCATTTCACAGCCCTGCCTTCTCAAGACCTAGACTCCTCTAGCTTCTGAGCTACACGCCCGCGAAAACGGGCAAAGTATTTCTGGAAGAGTATTTCAAGTTCACCTTGGCATTTGTGACATCATAATAACGTTATTGAAATCCTGCCGTTTCATATGCCATGCGACGATCAAGACCGAGGAAAATGTAATGACCGATCCGTTCTTATCTGGCGTTTGTGGGCACAATTTCAAGATAAAACGGCCGTTAACTGGCTCTCAATCACTCTTGTGCAAGGTACGATGACGCAATTAAACAATAACGCATCGGGGAGCATATCTACTAAACAGCGAAATGGTGGTGTCTAGAGCAGTGTTTTCTATTTTAAGTATACCAACAGTTGTGACTTTGTTTAATCATATCTGATGCTTGCTTCCATATCTTCAAACGTGAAACATTCCCCTTCACCTGTTAATTTTCTGGGATCCACAAAAATAAGACAGCCTCATATCCTTAACCAACATCTCCCCAACATATCTGCCCCTCATCCTTAACACCCTGGCGACACCACTGCTGCCAGAGCGCAGCAGAAGTCGGTACGAAGTGCACGTCAATAATCAGTCCGCGAGCCACTTGTCAGACGCCAGCCCCGTAAAGAGATCAGGCAAGCCTACCAACTTTCCTTGTCGCGTGCCTCAAATTCAGTCGAAAATTTTGACTTCTCAAAATTGTATCCAAGGACAACACCCAAAACCGTTGCAGAACAACACAAATGTAGTCATTCTTTATCTTCTTCCCTCAGCTGATGGCGCAGTTAAGACATGACCTACACGATATCGACGTGTGGTACGAGCCAGATGTGGGCCTGTACACAACCGCGCCCGAAATCCATTTCTCACTGGTGACCTTTTGGGACCCCTGCTAACTGAATCCATTCATTTCGCTGACGAATCGGGCTCGGAAACCACCACTCACCAATGCAAAGGGTGTATTCGGATGACGCCCTCGCAGTGCCAGGCCGCCAAAGATAACGTCAAATAGAAGACGTCCAAGCATTGCACTCCACGGAAGCACCGAAAACGGCTGTCACGTGCTGCCGACGGCGCCGGCATTTTGGTCCGGCCAGCCTACTGTCCAGGGAATACCGCCTGTGCATTCGGCGATGTCTGGACAGCTGGTTGCACGGGTGGATGCAGCCCGCGGAGGTCACCGGACATACGGCAGGACATCATTGGCCGCCCGGCCGCTCCTGTCCAGCCTCACGGCTCAGCGGGTTTTGTGCTCTGTGCAGCTGCACGGCGCCACACGTGCCGTTCGGCGGCGATCTACAACCCATGCTGATACAGACCACCGGCGCCTGGACGACGAGCGCGAGAGCCTTTTTGGTCTGACATGCTTTACGCACGCCGAACCAATGCAAACGCCAGTACATTTTGCAGTGGTGGTCTCCATACGGTTTTAAATGGAGATCATCCTTCGACATCATAAAACCATATAATGTTCCGTGCATTAAAAGCAATCAATTCATCTCCGATCAGGGCGCCCAAAAAATGGTGCTCAAATATAATCAAAATATAAATATATGGGAGGGGGAAATACAAGAAGAAATATAAAAGGGTAAAAATAAAATAAGATAAATAAATATCCTTCAAAATCTTAAATTTCTCCGTACACGTGGCTTAGCTAAGCAGGCGGGATGGGTTCGAGTCGCTTTCGGCGCTCACCATTTGCCCTTGGTAGATAAGGCCTGCGGCCGGTGCTAGCGATCGCGCTAAAGGTCAGTTGACGTCAGAGAGCAGGACGGACCGTGCCGAGCATCGCGGCACGTTAACCTTTCACTACCAATATCTGCCGTTGACCCGGCATTACATGATTGGATGGCAACAGTCAGGGCTTAGTCAACAAGCACTGCTTAGCGTAAGTTGTGATCCTCAAAATCTTCCACTTAAAAGCTTCGGATGCAACCTAAAAAAAAAAACACGTCGAGGGGAAAAGCGGACCCAAAATGCTCCACTTACTCCACGAGAGTATGAAATGATTTACACTGGGGTGAGCCGGAATGACAAAATTGAACGCATCAAAGCCTTCCCCAAAAAGCAAATCCATTCCACATCTCTCGTGCTGTCTGTACTGACAGAACCCAAGTTATGTCGCAGTTACACTTATCGGAAAACCAAAGAAATTTAAGCCAAACACATTAACATTAATATCAAACCATATTCAAAAAAGATCATATAAAACGAGAGCAAGCTCACGAGCAAGAGAGCAAGGGAGCAAGAGCGACCGAGACCGAGACCGAGACCGAGACCGAGACCGAGACCGAGACCGAGACCGAGACCGAGACCGGAACCGAGACCGGGGCCGAGACCGGGACCGAGACCGAGACCGAGACCGAGACCGAGACCGAGACCGGAACCGAGACTGAGACCGAGACCGAGACCGGGACCGAGACCGGGCCCGAGACCGGTACCGAGACCGGGACCGAGACCGAGACTGAGACCAAGACCGATACTGAGACCGAGATCGAGAGAGAGAGAGAGAGAGAGAGAGAGAGAGAGAGAGAGAGAGAGAGAGAGAGAGAGAGAGAGAGAGAGAGAGAGAGAGAGAGAGAGAGAGAGAGAGAGAGAGAGAGAGAGAGAGAGAGAGTTCATATTGTTTTGCGTTGTCACGTGCCCGTTCTGTCAATGAGTATTGTTTGCGCACCTACTTAATTCACCTTTCTTCATTTCTTTGCATATAAAATGGCATAAATAGGATTAAGATGTCACGAATGGGACAATTCATACCCTCCATATCGAAACGAAAGTCAGAAATATACGCATGCATCGCTCTGATCCTATTTGAGGCGTCTCCGAACAAGGCTCTGAGTATCTATTTTGACTGAGCTGTGGTGGACCAAGAGGTCCAGGTCCCAGTACATTTGTAAGCTAGATACATTCCAAATGGTTTCAAGGGTACATTTTCAAGATACATTCCAAATGGCTTCGAGCTCGTTCTTCTACGAGTCAAAAATTTTGACGAGATGGATTTCTAGGATCAGCCCCACGCAGAGTCGTGCTTAAACGTGGGGCTTGTTGCTTCCGCCCTGAACACAACACATCGGCAGGATCATTACATTTCAACGCACCATTTGTCCCCACCAAGCAGATAAGCAAACACAAACGCTTCCATTCACACACTAGTCTTCATCACAATCACGCTCAGCATTTCGATTTCGCACCAAGCGCACACACGGAGTTGACAGGAAGCGTAGGGGAATCGAATTCAAGCCGGACATCCGGCCGACATAGTGTTCCAATATTCGGCCACTTGGGGCCGAGGATGTCGGTATTTCGTTATGCTATTACACTCCCACTTTGGGGTTCACTGCCTGCTACTCGTGCACTTGATCAATATCGGCCAATCAGCATCAAGTCGGGCGGCAGTCAACGCAGCATTTAAACACCTCAGGCTTGACAAACGAGCCGGGCGAATCAGATGCCTGGGTTCGGGGTCAAAGAGCGATGGATTAGCGTCGGCGAGTTGCGTGCGGTCAGAATTGGTGGCATCAATTTATATTTACATCCTGGAGACCTTACTGGATCAGTGTTGCACGCTGGGCCAGCGGGGAAGTGGGGGAGGGGAGGGGGAGCGACCGACCTTGGCACTGATGTCGTCGTGCGCCCAGAGCGGCTGGCGTCGGCGGCTGGACAGGAAGCTGGCCAGCGTGAGGCAGAGGTGCGGCAGCGGCAGCGGCGCCGGCTCCGTCGTCATCGACACCAGCGAGGCCGGCTCGCTCTCGTCGCCCGCCACGATGGTCGGCACCGCTGACGTCAGAGCGCTGCGGCCGGCAGAGTCTGCGGCACGGCGCACGGCGTCGGCGCGGCGGCCCCCAGCGATGAGGCCGCACCGGCCACGTCCGCACGCCACCTCGGCCGCCAGCAGCCATCACACGGCAACGCATGGGCTGCGCGGTCACGCGGCAGTGCAGTTGCCATTTTTGACAGAGCCGTGCTCCTCCGTGACGACGGCAGGGCCGTGCTTCTCCATGACGACGCTGACGTATACACAGCAGGCCATTACGCATGGCACGTTTGAACATCAAGGCAGCTTCGCATTCCTTCGTGTGTTCCACTATCTATAAATCTTTCCAATCACCTGCGTAACAAAAATGGCTTTTACACAGAAGGCACAGTCCGGGAAGCTATAACGAGTTCTTTGTTCTCGCCGTCAATGCAGAACGCAAAGCATCACTAACCTTTGCTGGCGCATAAAGAAAGCATTGGCATACCCCGCGTGACGGGGTAGGAGGTGGGCGGGAGCTGTGTGGCTACCTGTGCCGTAGGGCGGCGCTGACGGCAGGAACTGCAGCACGGTGTCGGCCGTGCTGGTGGATGAGTCACAGCTCGCCGCCTCCTCCCACTCCTTCTTCGGCTCCTTCTCTGCAACACACAGCCCAGGCGGCTGAGCGAGTTTGGTGTACCTCAGGGCGTAACCAATAGGGGGTGGGGTAGGGGGGGGGGGGTCATGCGGGAGTCTAGCATAAACTTATTGGACTCCGGATGAGAATTAAGTACCTAACTGAAGAAGTAGGAAATATCGCTTTTACGCCCTGAAGACCAATCATACCATTACTCAAAAATTAAAAAAGGCGGTGGTAGCCTTCGCAAAGTCGGCAAATATGCTAGCATCTGATCCCCCCAAAATGCCTACGTAGAACAAGTGGGCACAAAGTTGGTGGCATAAACGGCATGGTGATACTGGCGCTACAACACGTTTGCTCTCCATCACCGCAAGCAGCCTCTTCCTTCCCAATTCCCGGGATGTTTTCATATCGTTGTGTTCTTCTCGGATTTGACGTTCCTATCCACAATGTTTTACCGTTGTAGTTACATATTCGTTTGGCGATACAAAATATCAAACAAGTATAATTCAGCAATTTTGCGGTCGGCGAGCGTCGGGAATGATCACTGCTCTGGGACCGCCCGCCCGATCTCGGCCATCCCGACTGCGCGCCGGCGTGCCTTCAGGTCGCTACGCAACGCGGCGTTGGCAGCATACGTCATAAGACCCCTGCAGCCATTTGACTCCGCTGCCGCTCTGATGGAGGATGATCGCCCGCGGCTCGACAGATCCAGCGGGACGCAGTCCCAATATCGGTGCCGTGACCCGAGCACGGACCCGGCCTACGGCACGCAGGTCACACACACACTTTGCAGCCGGCATATCTCGCGTCAACGGATAGCCGCCGGGCGGATAGTCGCCGGGCCGGCGCTGCCGCTGATCCTCTACTCTGCGCGGCAATCGAACCGCTGCCCCGCTCGTCTCAGCAGTGACCCAGCGCATGACCGTCAACCAGCCAGAGTGCTCCTCTCCAGAGCACTGCTACGTCGTCGGCCCTGTCCTGCAGGCTTCCATATTACCCTCGTGAGTGCAGGACGGGAGGAGCCACTCCCCATCTGTCGGGGCATCTCCCGAAAAGTTCAGCGTCATACCTGGGGCAGTCCGACTCCTCGATGCACCTGACATGCATACCTCGACTTCCTACCATACCAGGTCAATGATCTATGACCTAAGCTGAAAGCTCTCCACGGCCAGTATGTGGAAAGCTGGCGGTCCGCGTGTATTTCTGAGCCCTGTGTTCCGTATAAAATTCACCAACACATAAGCCATTAAGTAATAACATAATAAACTTATAAGGAAAGGAACGTTGACGAAAGTGCTACGTCACGCATCAGGACCGTTAGTGATGTCATGCCACGTACCGGTGAGGATGGCAGAAGTGTAATGCCACGTACCGGTGAGGATGGCAGCAGGGTGACGACACGTACCGGTGAGGCTGGCAGTAGTGTGACGGCACGTACCGGTGGGGATGGGAGTAGGGTGACGGCACGTACCGGTGAGGATGGCAGTAGGGTGACGGCACGTACCGGTGAGGTTGGCAGTAGGGTGACGGCACGTACCGGCGTGGATGACAGTAGGGTGACGGCACGTACCGGTGAGGTTGGCAGTAGGGTGACGGCACGTACCGGTGTGGATGGCAGTAGTGTGACGGCACGTACCGGTGGGGATGGGAGTAGTGTGACGGCACGTACCGGTGAGGATGGCAGTAGGGTGACGGCACGTACCGGTGAGGTTGGCAGTAGGGTGACGGCACGTACCGGCGTGGATGACAGTAGGGTGACGGCACGTACCGGTGAGGTTGGCAGTAGGGTGACGGCACGTACCGGTGTGGATGGCAGTAGGGTGACGGCACGTACCGGTGAGGTTGGCAGTAGGGTGACGGCACGTACCGGTGTGGATGGCAGTAGAGTGACGGCACGTACCGGTGAGGTTGGCAGTAGGGTGACGGCACGTACCGGCGTGGATGACAGTAGGGTGACGGCACGTACCGGTGAGGTTGGCAGTAGGGTGACGGCACGTACCGGTGTGGATGGCAGTAGGGTGACGGCACGTACCGGTGAGGTTGGCAGTAGGGTGACGGCACGTACCGGTGTGGATGGCAGTAGAGTGACGGCACGTACCGGTGAGGTTGGCAGTAGGGCGACGGCACGTACCGGCGTGGATGGCAGTAGGGTGACGGCACGTACCGGTGAGGTTGGCAGTAGGGTGACGGCACGTACCGGTGTGGATGGCAGTAGGGTGACGGCACGTACCGGTGTGGATGGCAGTAGGGTGACGGCACGTACCGGTGTGGATGGCAGTAGAGTGACGGCACGTACCGGTGAGGTTGGCAGTGGGGTGACGGCACGTACCGGTGAGGTTGGCAGTAGGGTGACGGCACGTACCGGTGTGGATGGCAGTAGGGTGACGGCACGTACCGGTGAGGTTGGCAGTAGGGTGACGGCACGTACCGGTGAGGTTGCGTCGCGTGACGGGCAGCGGCGGCAGGGTGAGGCCATAGTCCAGCAGCTCTGTGCGGCAGCTCAGGAGCACAGACGCCACAGACAAGTGGTCGTCATGCTTCGAAAGGACCACCAGCAAGTTCAGCAACAGCTGCTTGCCTGTCATGGATGCGGCACAGGAGCGCAGCATCAGACACAAGGTGCGCCACGCCGGGGACCAGGACAATTGCATATGATCATGGCGAATGAGGACAGTGAAACACACGGGTATACTATGATACCCAGGACCTGGAGCAAGCGAGGATGCTTATGCAATGCACTGACGTAAGAGACATTTCCCATAAGCTCGGACGTAAGAGCCATTTTCCATAAGCTCGAACTGATTAATTCTTGGTAACGGCGCAGGGTCGATACGTTACTGAAAAAAACATTGCAAAAGAAACGAACACACGGTGGGCACACACTTCCTTCGGCTTGTGGGCAATCCACCCCGAACACTAGAGTAATGATCGTTCCATTGCCATAGACACAATGCAGTCATATTATGCCAGCAGGTGAGATGTGCCTCCTGCATAGCGTGCGTATCAATTCACCCGCGTACAGCGATATGATAGCACAGCTGTCCAATCCAGCGCCGGCCGGCGGCAGGAGTCTGGGCACGTTTGTCGTGCGCGTGCGCGCGCACACCAGCCGCCGCCACTCACAGTTCTCGTGCACGAGCGGTCGAGGGTTGTCGAGTCCGAGGAAGATGACATGCAGCATGAAGGGCAGGTGCAGCGGCCAGACCAGCGACGGCGACTCCAGGCCGTCCACCACCACGTCCTGCATCAGCATCAGCGCCAGGTTGCACCTGCCGGACGTCGGCGCGTGACCATCTGGGACCAGTGCGGCCGCGTGCGATGTCGCGGACCGCCGGCAGTCGATGCTTGGTCGCAGTGTTCAGCTCGTGTAAAAAACGGAAGGAAATGCCCCATGAAAACTGGTAAAAATACTCATACTACGAAGAAATCTCTCATGTAAAAAACAACACTGAAACGAACGAAAATCCCTCATGGAAATCGATATTTCTCAAACCATATTGCAAACATCAAACATGACATCGCATTCCTGTACGCCATAAGCCTTCATGATCGATTGGCAAGACAGTAATTGCAATGTAGTGCAGCGTTCTTGTCGCCCCGGTCATCACGACAGCGCGCACGCGCCGCCAATTACGCCAACTGAATAGTTGGCTGCACATTGGTCCGACATGCGACGGCGAGACGAAATAAGAACCCGCTACCGAGTCTGATTACCTCCGAGCACGTGAATGCGGCCCGACACAGAACGCCGCCGCCGACGGGCTACAAAGCCGGCTGTTTGTTTCCCGAGGACCTGATTGTACCCTCGGTTGTCAACCAGACCGCTGCTGATGCCATTCGCAGCGACCAACTCCTCTCAGCACAATCAGACGCCCCACTCGGCACGCGCCGCGCCGAGAGAAATCCGCCCGTGCGAGGCCCGCGTCGGCAGGCCGTCGGTCGGTAGCAGTGTCACGCGGCGGCGCTCGCGGTGGACCGCCGGGCCGGCGATCGTCCCCAGGCCAGCCATCGGACGGTCTCTGACGATGGCATACGGTACATCACCTCTGCCCTGCCTCGTCCCGCCAGCCGGGAGGCCCCCCCCCCCCCGCTCGTGCCCGGGTGGTGCGCGCGGCGGTGGCCAATCTACGAGCCGAGCGCCGCCGGCGCGGCACTCGACCGACGTGCGTCGGACACGTGGCCTGGCCGGCCCGGCCTGGCACGACCCCTCCGGGACGGCTCGGTGACCTACGGCTGCCGCCCCGCGCTCGGCCACGCCAACAACCAGCGGCGCTCTTCGAGCCGGTCGCCGGGCCGCGTAGTTATGCCCATACCCGAAAGGCCGGCTGAACAAGTCCACATCCCTGACGACAAACGGCTACTGTTGGGTCAATAGGGGAACATGGTGTTGTGAAAGCTCACAAGATTCTGTACTGCTAACACCTCAGTATAACTAATGACAACACTAATGCATCGGCCCGTAAAAGGTTGATAGAGAGAGCGCGTTTGTGTCGATCATGGGCACTTTGCAACACAGCAAACGCGGCCTAATTTCAAGGAGCAAAGTAAGATATTTGCTTGCTTTGCAATTGCAGGCCGAGTCAGCCCGCCGACGTTTGGCTGACTGAGCTTAAACAACATCGACGAACAAAAACAGCGACCTTCGATTTTACGAACGATTGTCGAAGTTTGGAAAAAATGGCTGGGTTTGTTAATGTCACGCAGGGAGAGCTCAGCGCGGCACCCTGACCGGTGCAAAAGCCCTCCATGTGCAAAGCGATGCCCTTGGAAAGAACAGCGAACTACTAACTGACGCTCCGAGGGACGGCCGACACTGGGCTTGCGACAGCTGCCCCGTGGCGCCAGCCCCATGCGGGCAAACCAGGCATTGGCCCGCGGCGCGAGCCGCTCTGAGGCCGATGAACGGCGTCTCGCTGGCGGTTATTAACGCCGCATTGCAGCCGCCGCGTCAACCTACTTATCCGTCGCTTTCACGGTAATAAGCTTCATGAATCGATGCCCGACTTGTCGCGCACTTCGCGATCAAGCGCGAACATCGGGAAGGCAAGCGTGCTCCGGAAGCCTAACAACGCTGTTACGCAACGCGTGCTGCTCAGTGTTTCCAGTGTTTGAATGTCAACAGTGCGCATAGCGCAGGTTGCGTGAGTAGAAACGCACACCAACATGACCAAGAATCGAATTGACAAAACTCTTCCAGGTTTTTAATTTGAGACGTTGGCTGCATTTCGGCGCAATGCGAACTGTAAACATGCTTGATAACGCAATCTCCATGCGGCTTCATAACCAAATTGTGCATACCAGTGAGATCACAGCGCATATCCAGCAACGGTGAACTTTGCCCCGGGCGCGGACGCTGCCAACACGCGGAGGCACTAAAACCCAAGCGAACACTGCTATATGCCCGTGAGAGCCCATCAAGGTGGGCCTTATCAATTCCAGGCAATCATAATTTTGTGGACCTAACGGCGCTAACGATACAGTTAACATCTCACACCGTTTAGCGCGACGAGCTCTGACCGTGCTTGCGGCGATCAGCGGCGCCAGTCTGGCCTGGCCTGGCTCGGCTGGACTCGGCAGCCAGGGGTGGACGGCGGCCGCGGCTGGCCGGCAGCCACGGCTGGACTCGACGCGCGACCACTCATTGACACTCTCCTGACGGAGTCACACCACCCACACGCGGTGGAAGGCCCGTCTTGCAGACGGGCCTTATTAGGCCCAAACGTCCATGCGGCGGCGTCGCCAATGTTCACGCCATGCCCACCCACAGCTCCAATACATTCGGGCTTATCAATTTTGAATAAAGGATTGATAACCTCAAGTTCTTACGCTTCAGCATCTGCTCAGGTTTAGCGCAGTAATGCAACACTTAAACTAAACAGGTAAATGTTAACTTGAAATATAAATGTCAAAATATGTAAGCTACTCCGAACACGTCCTTTGTTCATCAAACTCAGTACCATACCAGATCAGGTCGCATGAAACATATGGGCCTCTTCTCGTAAAACTGCATGCGCCTCTTAAATTGAGCACACGTAGGACGACATATGTACATGTGGATTGGCGGGCATTGCTAGACTTTTGTCCTGAATTATATGTGCCTCTAAGACTATGATTCCCAGCCGCACCTGGCAATCCGAAGTCCGTGCATTTTGCAGCAAACCATCATGGTCTAAGATGACCTGAAAACTCGATTGAATGCGTCCATGACATACACAGTCACTTAACGGTAGGACGCGGCGTCCAATTATGATGCACCGACGCATGATTCCAGCTCTAACATTGACAACCACCTAGCGTTTGATGGGTAACCTCACTTCGGCGGGAGCAGGGATGAGGCCAGCTTGGATTCACCTGCCGTGACCTGGCAACACAACGGTGGTCCACCTGCCGGCTGCATACGCAGTGGAGCGCTTTAATTAAGGCTGGAAACATCACTGATGCTTGAGAACCGACCATGGTCTCAGAGGCCAATTTAAGACGTCACTGTAGCGTTACGTAAGACGACAAACGCCTTTGATCGAGCGATCCCATGACTTATACCAGGAATCAGACACAAGATGCAGCCCCAAATAGCCCGCTGAAGCGTTGCGTCGCGATGCGCGGCTTGCGGCCAACGCCCAAAGAGCCCCTCTCGACGAACGCGAGCCCCAACACAAGCGCGAGCGGTTCAATATTGCTCGGTCACACACGTCAGTCTAGCTCGGACGAGGGCGCCCGCAGCCAAGTGCCTCCACAAGTCAAGCTCATAAAGACACGTCGATCTAGCGGACAGTGTCGAAATGTCCGAACTAACGTCATCACCCGCGACCGGACAGCGGCTACCAGACGCGAAGGGGTACACGTCAGAAGCGCGCGTGGCGCAAGCGGCGCCGGTCACCTGGGTGCCCGGCAACACCCGCCCCTGAGCACACCCCAGCATCTGGCTGCCACAAAACTGACGGACGGGCGGTAGTGGCAGAGAGCAGAGCGGAACCGAGCAGACAGCGTGAGTGTGGCTCAAGATTACGGAGGGTCACTGGACTACTCGGCACGCAGCCGACCGGAGCGGGACCGAGCGGACGGCGTGAGTGTGGCTCAAGGCTACGGAGGGTCACTGGACTACTCGGCACCCAGCCGAACTATCATTTATATTGCATTTGTATTCGTACTTGAGTGAGGTAATCTAATCGAACGCGTGGCTATGACTACCCAGGATCGTGCTGTCCGGTGAAGGCAATCACTCGCCCATTGCGTGCAACTTTCAGTCAAAGGATACGAGAGAAGACAAAAGACGGCTAATTTCGCACATCGCACGTGACTGCACGGCATTCAGTCACGTGCGACCGGCAGTCAGCAGCCGCTGCTGCATAGCCTGGGCCAAACATTGCCCGGGCAACGACCTGACCCGCCCACCACCAGTCCGTTTGGAGCGGCCGCGGCTCCATACCTAAACTGCCTCCTCCCAGCCTCGGTCCAAGGCTTAGGGAAGTACAACGGTCTGTCTCGCCTGACCTCCCTCTCCCCCTCCCCTTGTGCAATGCGCTACCCTTGCTCCTCGCGTAAATCGCTACGTGGTCAAATTTACGTCGGCCGAAAACGACTTGCAGCAAAGTACAGTTTTCAGAATAGCTGACCTTTCATTTCTTCAATTGGATTATCGAGCCATTACGGCATACCGAAATACAGCAACGAATATGCAAGAAAACCAGGACGGCAACTATGGTTATGACAGATATACTTCACGAGGTTAGTGACAATCGGGTTGGGGCTAGGGGCGGGTAACAGCAGCAGGTCGTATGACCGCAGGCTGACCTGCGGAAGCTGGCGATCGGCTGGGGCTCGGGTCGGGCGGGGGTAACAGCAGCAGGTCGGGTGACCGAAGACCGACCTGCGGAAGCTGACGATCGGCTGGGGCTCGGGTCGGGCGCGGGTAACAGCAACATGTTGGGTGACCGAAGACCGACCTGTGGAAGCTGGCGATCGGCTGGGGCTCGGGTCGGGCGCGGGTAACAGCAACATGTCGGGTGACCGAAGACCGACCTGTGGAAGCTGGCGGTCGGCTGGGGCTCGGGTCGGGCGCGGGTAACAGCAACATGTTGGGTGACCGCAGGCTAACCTGTGGAAGCTGGCGATCGGCTGGCTGCAGTCGGGCAGGTAGCTGGAGAGCGGGGCAAAGTAGCCGCCATACTCCGGCATGGGCAGCGGATGCGGCTGAGGCGTGTTGTACTGTTGTTGCTGCTGCTGCTGCTGAAGCTGCTGTTGCTGTTGCTGTTCCTGTTGTTGTTGTTGTTGTTGTTGTTGCTCCTGCTGCTGCTGATGCTGCTGTTCCTGATGCTGCTGCAGTTGTTGTTGCTGCTGCTGCTGCTGTTGGTCCTCCGTCTGAGCGCGCAGAACGCTGAAGTTGTCGTCCGCCGCAGGGACCTGCGGACTCCCCGTCAGTGAGTGAGCCCGGCCAGGCCGTCCCACCCCCTCATTGCACAGAACGGCCATACTCACCCCCTGCTCTGAGCCAGACTCCCGATGCACGGCGTAGTTAACAAATGGCGACTGACTCATAACGCATCTAGGAGAACCCACCAAATCCGACAACACGCCGCGCCTGTGGCTGTCTGACTCCACTGTTGGACGCCGGTCCGGCCGGCAGCGGCCCCGCCGCATCGAGCCCGCCATCTTTGTAATCACGGCGTAACGCGACCGACTGCTCTCGGCGGCGCGCGCCACCGACCTTACTGAGGACTCCGGGCACCATCGGCCGTTTACAGCATCTTCGAAGTCAGGTTTGTTGTGAGATGAGGGCGTGGGTATTTAGAGGTACGCGTGGGTCCCGTGGAGCGACGTTGTTCCGGTGTGATAACTCAGGGGCCGCTGCCGGCTGAAAGCCAGAGACAGGACGCGAAAGGCGGCCTGAACCGCCGTTCAAAATCGTGTTCTCCACATCCACCTCCATCGGAGGGCACCACGCCGTACTTTCTCCACCCGCTGTGACGCCACGGCCCAGCCGGCGGACATCTGACCTGCGAGCGCGTCGAGCCGGGGGCGGCCGCCTCCTCCTGGATCAGCCGAGAGCGGTCCTGCGATCTGGAGCTGGAGACGGTGGAGCTGCTGCGCACGGAGCTGGCGGCGCCGTGGCTGACGGCACGCGCCGACCCCACCACGCTGCCGGAGAAACGGCAGCGTCACACCTACCGCCGACGTCACAGAGACAAAGCGTCGCCAGAAAAGTTGAGCGTCACACCCCTCTACCGCCAGCACAGACACGGCACATATACAACATACCGCTGGGAGAGAGAGGGTACCAAACGCCGAGACGCGGCAGCTACGGACATGCTAGCTTCTATCAAATAGGTGCATAACTGTGCTTAAAAGCCTATGCCCCAACATACTCCGGCAGCCCTTTATTACGCTAGATATAAAGTGTATCGTTGTGCTCAGAAATGATCATGGCATAATAGCGTTAAGGATAGCGTACAGCAGATGGCCATTCCTACGTCAGATACAGAGACTGGGGGTGCAGGGGTTAAACTGGGCGTGTCAACCAAATGCTTCCAGCCAACTTCATTTTGTCTACGACGAGGTTTTCACTGATATTCCAAAGAACAGTTCTTCAATTTCAAGACAGCGAACAACGATGATATTACACCAACTTTCCATTCCCTTAACCCAAAAATATCTTACCGGCACGCCCAACACCCTCAGGATATATTCGCTGTGAAGCAGTTTTGGCGCCTGACGTGTAGAATACAACTGGCCAGAGTGAGGGCTCAAACTGTTCACTCTGTGTTGCCGCGGTGCTATGGTATTCGTCCGGTTACGCCGAAGCCGCCCCGTAGCTCCAGCTCATTCCCGAATCAAGTGGCAAGAAATGCTAATCACGCAGCCTCGCTTCTAAGGACAGCGGGGGAGGGAAGCACGGCGGCGGGGCAGTCGCACTCCTCCACCCGGAAAATAGCATTAATAATGTGATGCTGCACACGTTGCACAGAAAAAGCCAAGTTAAAAAGTGCGGTTGCCCGTTGGCGCAGACGTAATCCTACGAAGTACCCACCGACAGTGGGGAAAATGTCCACAACCATGGAGCCTGCACACCGCACTAATTCTGATGTTAAACGGGTTGCCCTCTCTCGGAAATAGAGCAATGGCCAGGCTGTATGACATTGATATGCCTGTCGGATTATTTATATACGTGTGTATATATATATATATATATATATATATATATATATATATATATATATATGGATGATATAAGCGTAGTAGTAATTGGGGCCTCTGGGTGCCTCGGCTGCGCGGTCATAAGGCGATATATGTAGTTATATAATGTATATACGACTTCTAGGCGCCGTTACATCCGTCTCAGGTGGCACGGTGAAGTTAAAGCGCGTCTCAGTCCGCACAGACCATTCGGAGCTAATGCGATTGTTGTCGGGGCTTTACGACGCTCCCAACTGATGCTGAGGTAATATGGCGTCGCCTGCCGCCGGGCAGCGCGGGCAGCAAGACCGGCACCGTACATAAGAAGCTAATGCGACTGCCGCGTGGAAGGCAAGAAGATGGTAATGCCATTGACGAAGAGCTGAGAAGGGCTAACAATGGTAAAGATGTGATGATTTTGGACGGTGTCTTGCCCCGCCGGCAAACCACACCACCCGTTTTGCAGGTGCGTGCCACTCAGGCGGGACCGGCCGGGCCTGGGCGGTCCGATCAGCCGCTCGGTCCACCCACAGCTGACACCAGCAGCATCAGCGTGTCCCTCTGGCGGGACCGGCCGGGCCTGGGCGGTCTCATCAGCCGCTCGGTCCACCCACAGCTGACACCAGCAACATCAGCATGCCCCTCTGACGGGACCGGCCGGGCCTGGGCGGTCTTATCAGCCGCTCGGTCCACCCACAGCTGACACCAGCAGCATCAGCGTGCCCCTCGGGCGGGACCGGCCGGGCCTGGGCGGTCCGATCAGCCGCTCGGTCCACCCACAGCTGACACCAGCAGCATGAAACACAGAGAACCACAGAGCCAAGGGGTACGGCGCACGCACCACAAACGCCGGGGAGCTGCGCGGTGTCCCCACCCGCCCAGACCTCTGCATTAACAAGGCATCTGCTGGGGCTGGACATCAGCGCTATCGAGGCTACAGTCACGCCGGCACACCTGCCATGGTTACTTCTCCACATCACTGGACGGCACTGCTGGCCGCCAGTGCTATCCTTACAGCCGTTACGCCATGTCCTCACCGTGCCCAAGCACTAAACGCCAACACTGTATAGGCTCCAGGACTGCGGGCAGTGCCTGTATTGCAGCAGCGCGCACCTGAGGGTAAACTCTTACAACAGTCACCGCCTGCAACTGCTAACGGCCAAAAACGTACGTTGAAATTTAACAGTCATAAACCGCGGCATGCCAAAAGTCGAAAATATTTCGCGCGAGTCGGGTAGCCTGTGCCAAATGCTGCTAACACGACGAGACGCTTGCTCAGCGTCGGCATACCATGCGATGGGGCGGTGGCTCTTCGAAACCTTCTTGCTGAGCAGATCGGTGAGTGGGGCCAGTAGAGCAGAGGCGTCGGGCACAAAGCGATGGCAATACGCCACTATTCTGATGAAACGCCGGAGCTGGTTCTCCGTCGTTGGTGGAAGAAATTCCTGCACCGTGGACATTTTGTCTGGAAGGGGGGGGGGCGATGCCGAACCCAGTCACTTCATGGCCGAGGAACGGAACTTTTTCGGCCCCGAACATACTTTTTTTTCATTGATGACTAGCCCGAACTTGTCGAGTCGTTCGAGGACCATTTGAAGGTGTTCGAGATGCTCGTGCACCGACTTACTGGCGACCAGAATGCCGTCCAGGCAGACAAATGTCGCTGGCACTCCATGCAGCACAAACCTTCTAACCATGAATCGTTGGAAGGTTTGACTGGCATTGCAAAGATCGAATGCCAACCGGATCATCGAAAATTTCGAATGGCGTTGTGATGGCGGCCTTCGGCACATCCGACTGCTCCACCGGCATCTGGGTATGTGCGTAGACCGCGTCTAGCTTGGAAAAGACCTTGCAGCCGTAGAGGCGACCGACGTGGCCTTGCCGGTAAGGCACCGGGTATCGGTCCGGAACGGTGGCAGCGTTCAGCGCACGACAAACACCGCAGAGCGCCACTCTCCGGGAGTGGATTCCGGGAGCAGGTGCAGAGGTGAGGCCCAGCTGCTCTTGGATGCCCTCAGGACGCCGAGCTTACGCAGTTTGTTAAATTCCTCCCGATAAATCTCGAAACGATCCGGGGGCGAGCGCCGTGGTCGCGCGACACACGACGGTCCAGTTGTGATGATGTGATTAGTCAGAGTGGCGTACCGGAGCTGGACTTGTCGGGGGGTTGGTCAACCGCGGAAACTGCCGAAGCAGCGAGGCGTGGGGATACCCTTCAGGTGCCGCACTGGAGACGGTTCTCAGTCCCAATAAGCGGAAGGGGTTCCGCGGGCACAAACCTGGCGTGATGCATCCCGCAGGACCTGGAGACCTATGCCAACCGCCAGCTGGTGAGGTACAAGGAAGTCTGCGCCTAGAATCGGAAGTGGCGACGTCGGCGATGACAATCTCCCATTCAAAGTTGGGCCCGCCGCCGAGCTGGACGGCACGCCGGCATCCTCCAAATGTCTTCAATACGGTGCCGCTGGCAGCCTCAAGCCGAAGCAGCTGTGTGGGTGTCACGTCGGAGTCAGTTGGAAAGGAGGCAGGCGGTGGCACGCTGACTTCTGCGCCAGTGTCCACTTGCAGCGCCTGACCAAGCTGTCTGTCTTCGGCGAAGAACAACTGCGCCAGCGGACTTCCATGAGCAGGGCTGAGCACAACGGTGGGCTTCCACCCCGAAGCGCTGGTGGTCGTAGCAGATACGGTCCACCAGCGGCGAAGAACGGCGCCGTCTCGATGTGAACCGCGGTCGGTGATTCCAATCAGCTGTGGGTCCGACCCGCCGCGATCAACTCACGGATTTTTCCAGTCGTCGCTTCGACGATTCCAGTCTGTTACCCACGGCTGTCCGGCTGGTGATGGCGGCGTGCAGGTCTGGCTGACCGGTGGACAACGACGTGGGTGGCTGTGCGCCGAGTTGCAACACCGAGAAGGCGGTGACGGCGGCAGCTGCGGGGAGCGAGACTTCGAGAGAACGATCGGCCGCCCGAGCCAGATCGTCTAGGGATGTGGATCCTGGCAGCAGTGCGAGAGCTGCTCGGGCCGTATGGGGAAGCCGTTGTAGAAACAGCGTTCTCAAAAGGCCGCCGTCGGCTGGGGCGTCACATGCCGCCAACTGTTCACGCATGTTGCATGGAAGCTGGCATGGAGACTGGACCCCGAGTTGTTGATGGCGTAAGAGGTCCTCCAGACGACTGGCACGGGACATGACCAATCACTGATGAAGTGCCTTGCAGAAGGCCGTGTAGTCTCCGGCCTGCCCGATGATGACATTGCGAGCCTGAGCAGCCACGGCCATCGGAAGACTTGCGACGAGCGGTTTGAATTTGAAGGCGGGATCGTCGATTCCGGAAACGTCGAAGGCGCAGTTGACTTGCATCAGCCACAGCTCTGCTTCTTCAGCCGAGAAGGCAGGACGTCAAAAAGACATAAACGGTGCGGCGACCCCCGGCGTTCCGTGGTCCATTGCCCCACTGTCTAGCTTGCTTTCGACCATCTTCAGTTAACGCGTCGGTAGATCACGTCGGGGTCACCAATGTCGCACAGCAAATAGTTTTTTTGTGGCGATCGAGAAAGGTGACAGTAGTTGTCCTGTTGCTTTCATCAGTTGACAGCCCGAGCCCCCGTGCAGTGCGACACAAGAGTGACCACCTGCACCTCACGACCTGTGCTGTCAACCGGCTGACTGTGGCCGGGTGGCCGGAACTAGCACTGCTATGGTGGTTGTGCTGGTCCCGTGTGAAATATCGGTGCCTGCATCAAGGTGACACCGACCCGGCCTAACAGAAATGGAAGCGCGTCCAGAGAGGGACGGATCAAGAAGAGCGAGAAACACTCCGTTGTCAGGCTGCACAGGATATATTCTTGTCGCCATGGCTCGCTTCGACTTACATCACTTCACAGTAGCAAACATCTGTTCAGGTTATGGTAGTTAATATGGCCATTAGCGGCCTAACGATAGCTAAACTAGCAATCGCTTTCTGGTAGGTATATCACTCATATTATTCCCAACATAAAACAGTGCCATGAAGCTGGGAGACACTCACAGTTCTCACAAGACACACTGTCACACACACAACAATAATACTCGTTAGCACCACCTATTGGTGACCCACACGTTAAGGTGCTGACCTCGTGCCGCTAGAGTACCAGATAATTCGCACCAACAGCTTCCTTGAAAAAAGTGTGGTAGATAAAGCACAAGTGACTAAACCGACCTAGACGACTGTTGTCGTCTGCGGTGGGGTTGTGAGGCCCTGACACTGGTTCCAAACCGGTGAACTGACCCTGGGGACCCAGCCTGGAGCAGCGCCGGGCAGCGCGGCCGGCCGCGCCGACCCGGCTCGTGAGATACGCCTCGGTCGGCCAGCGTCCCATCCCTGCCAAATTAAACACGCAGCTCGACAAATTGCCGCTGTCAGAGCGCTGGAGCATGACCACACATACCGGTCGCGCAATTTCGCTCGCCTACGAACGAAACGGATATCCTTGCTGCCGCAGCCTTGGGGCAGCCGCGGTGGGTCGACGGCGGCACTCCTAGCTGCGGATCGAAGCATCCTCGCCCCGGGAGCCGCCGCGGGCGCCCTCCCCGCGCAACAGCGCGCCGGAGACCCAGCAGCAGTCGGCGGGAGACCAGGGCCGTCCCGGCGCCCGCCTCAGCCGCTCCGGACAGGCGCCCAGCAACGGCTCGTCGCGGCTCGCTCCACCCCCCCAGCGGTTGCGGCAGCACTCGGACGAACCCGAGGGGCCCACTCGCCATAACGAGACGCTGTGCCGATATTTCGCACACCGGCCCTCCGGGCACTGACCGGAGCTGTCCGAGCCGGTTCCGCAAACGGCTGTTGGTAACATCAGGGGATTGTGAACCCCTTAGCCTTAACGTGACGCCGGGAAATCTGAAGGCCGTGAGATTTGCGCATTGCCGTTCGTCTGACGGCCACCCATGCTGCATGGCTTAGTATGCGACCCTGGATGTCGTCGCTGATGTGCCACAAATGGCTTGTTGGCACTGGTAGCGTCGGCACGAGATAACCCTTCAGGTGATCTCGGACCTTCGCGGACCACTATCTCACCGCTCCAGGGACCCGGGCCAGCGATTGGATCACAGGAAGGCTGGCAGCATATTGCCTTCTTGCATCATCAGCGGGAATGTGGTCGGCGGCGTAGAAAACGAGTAAAACTATGAGCCGAAGATAGCAATATCCGTTCGCTTGAAAACAATACCCAGCCCCCTTAAGCAGAACGCGCCCCTTTACATAACAAACACGACTGAAAGGCATTAGCCTTCAGCCTGTATTCGGAAGTGTCAAAGCCAAATATGCTCTGTATCAAGGGTCCTTCCCACTAAGGGGCGTATTCACGGGAGGGCTTAGGTACAAATGCCCCAGTCTTATTAAATATGCTAATGCATTCATATGCACGTGCCCGAATGTCCATGTTTAATAAACCGCGGCACACACGTACGAATATTCCAAAGAAAACATGCGATGACCACAAGCCATGACCGACCAGGCCACAGGAACTCCACACTCACTTTACACTCGGTACACTCGTTTATAAAGAAGGGTTCGTACGCGCCGAGTTGCGCTCCTGGTGAGTTTGTCGGAGCGATTTCCACATTCCACACGGGGCAAAACAGCCCGGCCGAGGAACTATGCCGCCGAGTGCTCCGTCCGTCCCACATCACCGAAATGTGCAAGCGCTCTGACCGTCCAATCGCCGTAAATGCCCGGCGGCTTTCAGCCTGAGGGCGTCACTGCGCCGGTCGGCCGTATCCGGCCGGCTGATACGGACAAAGCGGCTCAGCTCGAGTCTGCCAGGCGGCGGCCGCCACCCACGACACCCGCCATCGAACGCATCGCACAAAACACCCGAGCAATTCAGACTTCCGTCGAGACGCGTCCATCTCAGGAACCGAGAACAGTGGGGTGAGTGGGTGAGGAGAGAGAGAGAGAGAGAGAGAGAGAGCGAGAGAGAGAGAGAGAGAGAGAGAGAGAGAGAGAGAGAGAGAGAGAGAGAGAGAGAGAGAGAGAGAGAGAGAGAGAGAGAGAGAGAGAGAGAGAGAGAGAGAGAGAGAGAGAGAGAGAGAGATAGAGAGGAGAGAGGAGAGAGAGGATAGAGAGAGAGAGAGAGAGGAGAGAGAGAGAAGAGAGAGAGAGAGAGAGAGAGAGAGAGAGAGAGAGAGAGAGAGAGAGAGAGAGAGAGAGAGAGAGAGAGAGAGAGAGAGAGAAGAGAGAAGAGAGGAGAGAAGAGAGAGAGAGAGAGAGAGAGAGAGAGAGAGAGAGAGAGAGAAGAGAGAGAAGAGAGAGAGGAGAGAGAGAGAGATAGAGAGAGAGAGAGAAGAGAGAGAGAGAGAGAGAGAGAGAGAGAGAGAGAGAGAGAGATAGGAGAGAGGAGAAGAGAGAGAGAGAGAGAGAGAGAGAGAGAGAGAGAGAGAGAGAGAGAGAGAGAGAGAGAGATAAGAGAGAGAGAAGAGAGAGAGAGAGAAGAGAGAGAAGAGAGAGAGAGAGAGAGGAAGAGAGAGAGAGAGATAGAGAGAGAGAGAGAGAGAGAGAGAGAGAGAGAGAGAGAGAGAGAGAGAAGAGAGAAGAGAGAGAGAGAGAGAGAGAGAGGGAGAAGAGGAGAGAGAGAGAGGAGAGAGAGAGAGAGAAGAGAGAGAG